GCTCTCACGCGCTCAAGGTAAACGAGCAGCCTCTGTCTCTGTCTGCTTCAGGTCCTGTCTCAGCTGTCTCCGCAGACCGTGAGCGAAATCGACTCTCTTCTTGGGAACAAGCCACACTCCAAGAAGGAGCCCCGTGCGTGAGGAGAGAGCAGGAGGCGGGGAGGGAGGAGGAGCAAGAGTTTGGGAGAAAGGACCGGAAGAGACAGAGGAGAATGGAGCAAGGAGCCATCAGCCAGATGAGAGGCCATCAGATCTTCAGCTCTTCTATAACCTAAGCATGTCTTTAAGCATTGCGCTTCCAGTACTAAGATATATACATATTTATACGAATATAAGAAAAATGAAACAATTACCGACACAAGAAACTGTAAATGACAGTGTACACTGGGGAAACTTTTCCTCTCGGACAACAAGAACGAAAGAGAAACATTCATTTGTTGTTGAGAAGATAGGTTTGGCAATCAGGGCAACATGGTGGAACAGGAAACTGCTAACATGAACAAGAGAGAGGAAGGGGATTTGGGGTCATTTTAGCCCCCCACACCTATTCCACAGCATCCTGATCCCAGGACTGACATAAAAAAAATGATGGATTCTCAGCTCAGTCTTCCTTAATTTGCTTGTGCGTTTCCCTTTAAGGAGGAGGGCGTGGTTGAGGAGGGGGCGTGGACTGTCAGCCAAAGGAGGAAGCCTGTAATGGGTGTGGCCTTGACTTTGAGACCAACACCCCTTCCCTTCTCCCACTCTTTAAAGGGACAGCGTCTCAAGAACGAGACGTTCGTTTCTATCAGCACATACTGTACATGTGCGGTGTATATCCTACCGAGGAGCAGCAGGAGTAAAAGATTGTAAGTATCATTGTTACTGTTCGATTCCAGAATCAGTGTGGTTCCGATTTTGGATGGAAAGTGGGTGGACCACAGCAGATTGGTGGCCTCTTTTAACCTTTCAGTACTTTTTAGCATTTACTACAACTATCCTTTTATTCCTCCAGACAGAATTACGCTTGCAGACATAATCAAGGTAGGAGAGTAGAAGATCTCTGCTTATGTCTGTAACTGGATAGAGTATTGTCCCTCTGTATCTTAATTTCACGCACAACAGACATCTCATCTACTGTCACTTGCTCAGGAGACACGGGAGAATAAATTCATGAATTCTGTAAGACTTTCAGGAACGTCACAAACAAGAAGAGATCCATCCGGCCTGCCTGGTTCGTTTGGTGTCTCGGTGGATTGTAGATCCCGGGATCTCTTCAACCAGTCCTTTCTTAAAGGACCCCAGGGAATGAGGCTCGCCTATGCGTCTGGGGTAACTTGTTGCAGACCCCTACCACTCTTGGCATCCACTTGCATCTCCTGGCAGTCTCCTGTGGTTGCCTTCGTCAGCAGGCTTTTGAAGGATGAACAAAATGCTCAAGTCAAGAACTGAATGTTTCAGATTCTGGGGTGGGGGTCAGTATCTGCTGCTTCATCTGGGACCCCTGCGTGTGGAAATGGCCACTTTAGGGCACCAGCAGCCCACGTTCCTTCTCCTCTGGGCGGCAGTGCAAGTCAATCCAGCGATCGCGTCGGTCGCGGTGCAGAATCCCATGGCGCACAAGGTCCTGGCTCGATCCGGATGAGACGGCCCACACTGACATCCTTTATCTGGTGTGAGACCGGTTTCCTGCTGGACATGTGCGCAGTGCGGATGCGGTCTCGTCCTGCCTTTGCCACGGGACAATCAAATTGGCTTGACCTTGTCTCCATCCCCATGTCGGGACCAGGGGGAAGGCAATTCCACGGACACCACAGGGCGTTGCCATCGTCGGAGCCCACCAGGGGGCGCTACAGCAGCTGCGCTTGACCACCTTACATGTCCGTGCTGGCTCAGATGTGTGGACGGACAGTCCAAGGCTGCACGAGGCTGGAATCTCACCAAATCCCATTGTGCCACCTTGTGACATTTTCACCATTGTACAGTTTCCAATAGGCCATCCTATACTAACCATACTGTGTCCTCTGCATGCCATACTCTCCAGTATGTGGTACTGCAGTGTCGTTCCTCCGAGGCGTGTCTGAAGGTCCCTGTGTTGCCCTCTCCTTCAGCGTCTCCTGTCCTGGCGGGCGTGTGATTTATCTTCTCAGGAGTAGCTCATCGCTCGGGACAGGAGGACTGGGCCCGTGGGAGGTGAATCAGAACAGTCTTGAGCCAAACTAGCAGGAGCGCACGAGGAACGCCTCCCGATCGGACTCATATGCTAATGCCATAGCAGCAGGCTGGGGGGGGGGCTTTACTGTGCTGGGGTAATATCTGGGGGCACGGGGGGGCCCCGGTTGCGATCTCGGTGACCTGCCTCCCCTGGCTGGGTCGGGATTCCTCGCGCTGGCCGGGTGGCAGAGGCGCAGGAGAGCCGGGGCGACAGGGACCCTCAGACCGGGCGGCTGCCCCTCTGCAGACCCCCCGGAGAGCCGCCTGCGCCCTGGTGCCGCGGTCAGAACCGTGTATATATATATAGACTCTATTGCACTTCCTGCAACTTTGCCTGTATTCTTATTCTACTGTCTTGCAAAAAAAAAAGAGAACACTACAGCCCTCTATTGAATGTACCTGCCTGCTTTACAAATAGAAACTGAATTTCATTAATATAAGCACCCAGCCTGTTCGCTGTAGGAAGCTGTAGAAACACTCCTGCTCAGCACAGAGACGCTGTTAACAGAGAGACACGGACAGACAGGTAGACAGTGACGGACAGACAGGTACAGAACGATGGACAGACAGGAACAGAATGATGGACAGACAGGTACAGAAAGATGGACAGACAGGAACAGAACGATGGACAGACAGGAACAGAACGATGGACAGACAGGTACAGATAGATGGACAGACAGGTAGACAATGATGGACAGACAGGTACAGAATGATGGACACACAGGAACAGAATGATGGACTGACAGGTACAGAATGATGGAGAGACAGGTACAGAATGATGGAGAGACAGGTAGACAGTGATGGACAGACAGGTACAGAATGATGGACAGACAGGTAGACAATGATGGACAGACAGGTTGACAGTGATGGACAGACAGGTACAGAATAATACAATGAACAGAGATACTAAGCCAGGTGAAACAGAAGCAGAAGTAAACAAACCGAGTGACAGAACAGACAAACACAGAAACACTGCTCACTGCGAGGACAGTGGGTGGCGCCAGAGAGCTGGCTGAGTCGACAGCAGGTGCACAGACAGCGATGTGTCTGTGTAACAGAATTCTCTGCAGTAAACTAAAGATTCTGAATAAAGTCTTCCGTAAGAAACACACTGTCTGTGTCAAGAGTGTGCTGCTTCTTTCTACGTTGATCCTGCGTCTAAACCGACGGCCCACCACGTCTCTAGAGCTAACCTGAATTAATCAATGGCACCCTAGCTCAACACAGTGCGAGCAGTTTCTCTCTTCCGTCTGCGGCTTGAGTCCTGTCCGCTGTCTCTGCTCCCTGACTGGAGACTCTGACTGCAGGAGCCTGTCGTCACAGCGCTGTCTGCTGGTGCTCTAGCAGCCTTAAAACTCTTTTTTTCATCATCATCCAAGGGTTCATCGTGTTTCTTGACATAGGTACATGTAATTGTTTCGTGTCTGAATGGTTTTCACTATTCTTCCCACAGTCCAAAGACATATCGGTAGGTTCATTGGCTTCTGGGATCTGTTGTGAGTGCATATGTCTCTATGTGTCCCAGTGTCTCCCAGGTCATTCTGAGTGTCCTTGTGTCTCCCGGGTCATTCTGTGTGTCCCAGTGTCTCGCAGGTAATTCTGAGTGTCCTTGTGTCTCCGAGGCCATTCTGAGTGACCTTGTGTCTTCCAGAGTGTCCCAGGTCATTCTGAGTGTCCCAGTGTCTCCCAGAGTGACCCAGAGTCTCCCAGGCCATTCTGACTGTCCAAGTGTCTCCCAGAGTGTCGCAGGGTCTCCCAGTCTCCCAGGTCATTCTGAGTGTCCCAGTGTCTCCCAGGTTATTCTGGGTATCCCAGTGTCTCCCAGAGTGTCCCAGGGTCTC